CTCCCACAAAATATATATATATATACATATATATATGTATATATATATATATATATATATATGTATATATACGGCTTCACGTTCTTGGCTATATTGGTATACGTATAAAGTTTCTCGAACCGGTCTTTTGTTTTTTTTTTAACCTTAAATAGCTTTCATTATCCAGTAAAAATAAAAGGGGGAGAGTGGGGGGGTAGGGTAGATAAAAGAAGATGGATTTTCTTCCAAACAAGTTGCTTAAAGACCCTTAAAGCTAAGGAAACCCGAGTATGCGGTGGCGACGATATCACCTGCCACAATTCTATTAACCAAAATCACGTCAGTTTTTATACCCAAAAGTTTTATATTCAGTTTATTGTACAAATTATGTACAGGGTATTGACGTGTAAAAATCTTCGTCAGCTGCCTCTGGGGAAATATGTGTCTAAAATGTAAGTACGCCTTAAGTTTCATTTTCTTCTCTCGCTATAGAATGATAAACATCTGCACTGACGTTCTATTTTGACTACAATTCCGTCAACATTTTTCAATTAGCATTTCACAGATTTCTTCTTCCTTTCCATTACAGAAGGTATGAAAATAACCAAAAAAAAACTGTAATCAACTATTAAAACAACTATTGATCTTGGTCATTTCAACTTGTCGAGACTTATCAGTGCCGTCGGCTTTGGCTATTGATCTCTTCACGGTACAATCACGATATTGTTTTCAACCTAGTTTTTTTATTCATTGTCATTGCCCAATCAATCCTCAGTGAGTGTGCTCCCACGAAATCTGTGCACGTCATTTTGGACCACGACCAAAGTAGCTTCAGTTCATGCTTTACACGCTCAGGCTTTGTGTGCCATGACTGTACATCCCGCGAAAAACACAGTGCACCAATCTATTGTGCAAATTGCAGCCTATGTCCAGTTGGTACCTACTCGTGTACTGATGGATCCCGCTGTCTACCGTGTTCTGCAGGTAACGAGAAGAAACAATTACTTTATCGTTGATATAAGTATCGTAAAAAGACAAGTAATAAGGAATCACTTTATTTGTCTGGCTAGATCATTATATCTAGTCATTATTCTTTCCTTTATGTATTTTTTTAACTTTGGAGATGTCTTATGCAATTAAACGATGCTGGTATACTGTGTTATGGCTTACTCTAGGGTATACTTCTTTTATCACGAGTGAATTGGAAACCAACAATAATTTTGATAATTCAATGTAATAGTTGATTCTCCTTTATATGCTCAGACAATCCACCCGTAGAACCGTATCCATGTTCTATGATATCTTCACAGGGGGTTTTTATCAGGATGAAATGGGACAAGATGATTGCAAAAGGTGCAGCATTGGTACATTTGTTTCTGAACAGCGAAGTCCTGGGACTACAGCTGCCGACTGCGTAGCATGTCCATACGGTAACTTTTGTGTTTGCTTTGGGTGAACTGCAACTTTTTTCCAATTCAAATGCGCTTTTAAAGAATAATGCGAAGCGATTGATTCAACCTTTGGCAAGCTCCATCACCAATTTTAGTTCAATACACAAAACACATTCATCTAAAATGGATTATCCTGAGGATCCATCTTGGACTGCATAAGCCGAGAGTACTCGTTTGATTGTTTGTTTAGAGGGGAATCCAAACATGTCTTATTTGGAAGATAATAGTCATTCAATTCACAAGTAATATCATGTGCAAACGCAGAGAAAAGAGAAAATGCGTTCGTGGAAAAGCCCTTCTGTCAATGTTTTGTTGTTTCTATAGATAGGGTTCGACATTTTGCGAAGTGATTGCTTAAAAATGAACCATTCTTTTTCAGGTACGCTTTCTAACGAGACTGCCAAACATCGTGCATGCAGATGCCTACGCAACTTCTATCGGTTGGATCGCTTTGGCCCGTGCACAGCATGTCCGCCAATCGGTTTTGTTTGTGAGAAAGATACAGCAATACTTGCTCCTAACTACTTCTGGAAATGGTCCAATCAGTCCGAAAAAGAGCGTTTCAAAGGTTTTGTTAACAATATCCATTCTAATGGATCAGACTACAACAAGTCCTTTTCAATGTTCAATACTTCACTTCCGAAGCCACTCAAATGTCCCCATGCAAAGTCTTGCAAGGGTGGAATTGATTCAGTTTGCCATCCAGGATATCAAGGGAATTTGTGTGCAACCTGCTCTGAGAGCTTCTATTTTCGCTTCAACTCTTGTTTGAAATGTCCCCGGTTAGCTGTAACAATATATTCATCCATCCTGGTAATTGTTCTTTTTGTTGCTGTGTTTCTAATGGTTCTTTGGGGTGACTCCAAACGTGCAGACAATAACCGGACAGTTGCAGATGTCGTCATGTCGTGCTTTAAGATTGTGATTGGTTTTTACCAAGTCATTGCCGGTATTTTCTCGGCATTGGCTAAAGTTCAATGGCCAGTCGTTTTGATCTCAACGGAGAAGGTTCTAAAAGTGTTTGAAGGGAACATCTTGCAGTTTGCCCCTCTTAGTTGCATTCATACTTCTCTACGGCTTGATGAGCTTGGAAAGTTCACGATGATTGTTGTCATGAATGTCTCACTCATTGGCTTGATTTTCTTATATTTATTTCTTAAAAAACGCTACATCATGAATAAGAAGGACCTTGGTGAAGACCGGAAAGTAACGGAAGTTAAGAGTTTGAAAAAATCTTGCTATCGGAACATTTTCCTATTATTGTTGACGACCTACCCCACGACGAGCAAATCGATAATTCAGATTCTACCTCTTCCCGGTGCTTGTATAGAAACATGTTTCACAGACAAGAAGAACGACTGTATCTCCCTACTGAGAGCTGACTACTCCATCAAGTGTTTCACTCCTCGCCACCGTTTGTTTTGGCTCATGGCTTCTATTTTGGCATTATATCCCGTGGGATTTCCACTTCTGGTTCTGTTTCTCACCTACAAATATCGTGAATCCCAGGAATACGAAGCCATTTCTTTCGGACTCAGAGTGTTCTTTGAAAACTACAAGAATGAATTTTGGTTCTGGGAAGTCACAGAGATGTATCGCAAGCTCATTTTAACCTCATTGATTTTTCTTTTTGGATCAAAGAGCCTTTCTCAAATCGGTCTCACAGTTCTGACAGTCAGCGTCTTTGGAGTGGTCTACACCTTATTCCGACCAATCAAGGACAAGTTTGAAGATTGCTTACAAACATTTGTTCTTTGGATAATTTTCTTTGACGTTTGTCTTGGTGCAGTTTACACAAACTGGGATGAGAGTCAAGGAGAGGGCAAGAACGATTCCACCTTTGTAAATGTCGTGTTCGTGGTCCTTAACGCCTCTGTATTGTTGCTTGCCATTGGTAAGTCAAAATGCTGCTCTGTTTTATTCGATGTGCATTTTAGTCATTTGCGAAATAAATCAAGGAAAGGACCTTGATTTTGATGGATTGTGGTGGTTTTCTCAATCCCCAAGTTTTTTCGTTTTCCGCGCAATTATGATATAATTGTGATCAAATCATAAATTAGCCTTATTCAGGTTATTTAGGATATTTGACGTTCTATAACACTGGCTCATACAGTAGTAATCTTAAGGCAGATCGCGATGTTTGATCAATTCTTCTCGCAGGTTAATTCTTCCTGTAAGTGGAATTTTGAGACTTTGTAATCCTGACAGGTTTTTAGGATGTAGTTTACAAAATTATACCTATGGAAGCTGCCAAGGAGGGAGAATTTGAGTTATTTTCTTTATTAATCTCATGTAGTATTCCAACATTAGAGATTATTAGTAGAATACAGAAAACTAAAAGATAGAGTTGAAGTATAATGTTGCGATCTTAGGGAAAAATCCAAATCGTTTTGTGAACGAAATGTCAACACTCATTCTCAAAACGCTTCTTAGCAAGAGCGAAAATAAAGACAAATTTCAGAAAAAGGGACACCTTACCATTTTTAACGCTTTCGAGTAAGATTTCAACTACATGTATAAATGATGAAATCCCTCTTTTTTTTCTACTTTATAGGAAACGGAATTCTACATGTGAAGTCAATTTGGCAGTACGTTACCTTCAACCCGATCCGATGTTTCAGCTTCCTTCGTCAGGGAGTATCACGTCTCAAGAATAGAGTGGTCACAAGAACGGGAACATCCGATGAACTTTCACACTTGATTGAAGAAAGCAACTGAAGAACTTCCCCGAAATATTTGTCTTAAAACTTTTTTACTATGCCTCATGAATATCTTGCTCTAGGTGGCTTAAACGCCTAGAGCTTTCGTTGAAATCTCTCTGGCTATTGTGAGACTTCTGGGTGACATTTCATTGTAACTAAAGGCACTAGCGACTCCCGCAAAGGCTGTGTCTTCAAAATGTAATGCATAATGTTTTTGATCTCAGACTTAAAGTGCGACAAAAAACGTTGAAAATTATATCAAGGTTATTTTTGAGTAAAAAAATTTTTTTTGGTTAGTTAAGAAGTAGGATTCCTCGCACCTTCGAGCATATATGACTTTGACGCACCATATATATTTAAGCAATAAAGCACACTTTCTATCAGTTTGCCGACGTAATGGCTACTGAACTAATTGCTCGTTTGAATTTTTTTTTTTATATAAAGTCAAACCTTTATTCGTTTGAAGCATATAATAAAAACTTCAAATGGCGTATCACCTTAAATTTGGACAAAGACCGGACTGTACCATTTATATGAAATACACTCGGCTTTGCTTTTTTTTTTTTTTTTTTGTTAGTTCTGATATATTCAGCCTCACCACGAGTCTCACACCACGATTCTGTTCTTTTTTAAAACTGATTTTAAAAGATTCAATTTTAGATCAGTGTTTGGACAAAGAACTTCCATTTCTAAACGTTAAATACTTGTACAAATCTCTCATTTCGATTTTTTTTTTGTTCTTCTGGCGTGACTAAATTTGTTGATAACTGCTAACGGTCTCTAGGTCTGGTTCAATCTTTTGCTTTAAAGAAGCTCATTCGGTGGCAGATTTTTAAGTTTGCAGATCCAGGCGTATTCTTTCTCTGTCTTTAAGTAACTGTGTCTGGTGAATATTTTCTGTCCATTCCCTCGTTGACTGATAAACCTAGTGGAGGGTAAATATTTTGCTCATTTAACAACGAGCCAGATTTTTCCCCTATGTCTTTACATCGCCAGCTGTAAAGAAATGAGACTCGGGATGAATTGAGGAATGTCACAGTCTCGGCTAGAGGGTGCAACAGATAATAATACAATGCATCATTTTCAATCACGATATCGATCAGGGAGGTTGTCATGAGTAACGAATTACAAAGCACTCAAGCGTCTCGCGTGTGTTCCACGTTTGCGGCTGTTGCGTCCAATTTATTTTTGGCTGTTGTTGTCGCCCGCGTGAATCTTTATGTTCACTTTATTTTGTGCGTGTGAATTTGTCATTCGTGACACCTTAGTATCTTAGATATCTTGAAAGAATTAATTGGAGAAAAAAATCGTCGTTCGTCGTTTTATACCTTCAACGCTCTGTAAATAACATTAAAGATAAGAAAACGAGAGCACTGCAGTGGAAAACCAGTTTGATTTTGCCAGCAATGTAAACAAAAAATGCTATTTGGACAACTAAACCGACCAAACTGTCGCTAAGAGCAACGGGAAAATACATATGTTAAAGACAGTTCGGAGAGCAGAGAATTTGGGAATAACTACCAGCAAGAGGCCATGCCCCCGGTATGGCTAAGACTACTAGCAGGGGATTGACAACGCAGATGGCGAGGACATAATCATGTAGTGTTGGTAATAGCTTGAAGCTGGCAGCTCTTGAGAGAGGGTTGAGTCTAGGCAAGGTGTTTTTGTTTTCATCGGTGGAGTTTATATGATATCGCGATGTATGCCACTGATGAAGTTATTTTGCTATCTACGCTGATATTGAAAACGTCAGCGATAATTAATTGCGGAATGGAGCTGCCATATTGTTTAACAGTATGTTTTATGCTCACAGTAAGCCTAAAAAGTTTTACAGTGACAACAATTTTATATTCGCGTCTATTGATAGAAAGGATAAATTGGCTGATATAGCTAAGATAAAGAAAACTCTGAAGTTAAACTTTATTCGAGATTTTGACCGAAAGGAAAGAAAACATGCATGAATACATGCACACACGATAAAAATTTAACAGCTCCTTTTGTTACCGAATTTATGTCCGGTCCCGTTCGAAGTCAAAGGTAAATGCATGCATCGAGATGTCGTAGTTCCTGATAGTTTACCTTTCATAGAATATTCCTTTTTTATCGATTTTTGTGCAAGTTTATACACACAACATTTGGATCGCTTCAGGCTTTTCCAAGTTACTCTTAACACACAAAGTAAGCAAACTAAGTCAGTTCTGGATGATTTCTGTCCTTATTTGAATTCCAAACAGTTGTTCTTGAGGGACAGTCGTGCTCATACTTACAATACAAAAGCAGTTAACAGGAATTTAGTCCAATGGTTAACGATCGGTGAACTAAAAGTGTTCTTTAATACTATTCACTGTAGTGCCACTCGCTTTTTTCCTTTTGTTCCAAGTTTTAAGACTGAAATTTCACCATTTAAAGCTTAAGAAAAGCACCCATTGATAATCAAACCAAGTTTAAGTGATAAGAGACAAGCAGAGAAAACACTATAGGTTATGGATACGAAGAAAAAAGGGAAGAAAGTGGAGAATAAAAAGTGTTTTCTTGCTGAAGCTATCGTAAAAGTTTTTTTTCTGAAATGACGTATTATGAATAGGATTTTTAAAAAAAAATAAAGTCTACAAGAGTTTGATCGCTCTCATTCCCATGGGGAACGGGCGGAATCAAAAGCGTTCTATAGGTCACACACTTTATGATAGGAATAAAATATTACCACACTCATTTAAATAGTGCGATAAAAGTAGAGAATAGATCACAGCATGCGCTTATCACGTCTTAAATGTCGTGTATGGAAAGTTAAGCTCGGTAAAGAAATGTTACTTAGTTTTCCTTTTGACAAGGAATTGACTTTTTAACGGGTCGGCAATAATAACTTTGCAGCTGTCATTAACTGTACTGAGACATTGTGAAATGACGACATATAGTGAACGCCGAACTTCACTGGTACTATTCATATTTCATGGGGTTTTCCGGTGAATTGAAAATTCCACTTTCTCTCTTTTCCTTTCCAATCAGCACACACCACCCAGTCCTAAGTAAGCTATGCTATGTACCAAAGCAAATCACTGAAAAGTACAGAGCCTTCCGCTTTTATTTTATCAGCAACAAACGGCCCTATGTGACAAATATGGATGATGTTTTGTCACGAAAGGTTCCTTTTTTTTCTTTGAAACATAGGACACGGTGAACTTTAAAAGTATTATTTACTGAGAAGAAAGAAAACAGCCTGAGCGTCAGGTAAGCAAAATAAAAGACAGGCAAGTAGATTTTTGGTTTTGAGATTTGCTTTTGTGCAATAAACTTTTCAGTCGAGAAATTTTTTTGGTCAATGGCTTGGTATTAGATACGCTATGCAATTCACCACAACAGATAACTGAACCACACAGATTATTCCTCCCGTGTTTCTATTTACATCTGTGTTTGAACCGTCGGACTTTCAAGGGAGCATTATGTGTAGGGAGGGGTTCAAACCTTCCCGTATTCTTAGCTAGCTCTCTTGGATAATCAAATCTAAGTAATTTCTGCTACAGTTTACCATTTTTTGAGCGAGTTGATCACCTCTCTTGATTGTTACCTGTTTTGGCTGCCTAGTTTAGATTCCACGCTGTTTCATTCATGAGTTGATTCCCTCACCTCAAGAATTTAATCCATGAGTTTACTCAAAATTACTAAGCAGAGTTATCTATAATTATTGTCGTTAGATCATGAAATTTTGTTTTACAATATCAGCGATTGCAAGAAGACTCTTTTAATGTCCTCCCTGCCTGAGCGAATTACTTTCCCTCATGCTTCTCGTCTTTCTCTTGAGTCTTTACTCATGCTCGTCTCCTAGAGTACCTTTCCAACAACTTCACTACAGAGAAACATTACGCTCTTTTAATTAAAAAGTGGAACTTTTCCCTTATAGCTTCAAGTCTATAACAGATTGAAGAATAGAATGAAAGAAGAATGTGTCAATTAAAGTACAATTTAAACACATCGATTTATTTACGACTCTTACCTGTTCCTAGAAAAGAACAGATCCAAGCATAACACACGTTGCTAAAAATCACCATAATCGTAATGATAATGATCACCACCATCACCACAATTATTATTCTGTCATAGCGCGCAGTCAATGTGATGATAACAAAAGTAATTAAGAGAGAATACCTTTTGAAACAACTGAAAAATTCACGAGAGCCAGCTTATATTGAAATGAGCCTACAAAAAAATATTGAAAAGAAGATTACGTAGTGCTCGACTGGAAACCATTATATTAATGGGGAGTAACTTTTCAAAGAAATGATGGCGCTGCGTATGTGGTGGGCTTAACAGGATAATTTGGTTTTAACGAGAGATTTAATTTTTTCTTTTTGTCACTCTCTTTTGGAGACTTTGCAGGTAAGCTGCACAGATCTGGGGAAGAAATGCATAGACCATCGTCCCTGTCCCTGACAATAACATTGCCGTTCGAGATCAATTCGTATTGCATTATCGCTTCAAGATGATCCACAATTATACGAAGCAAGTATCTGTTGTGCATCCCTACCCCCCTTCCCACCCCCGAAAAGCTTCCCCTCTGATTAACCCCCGTCTGGAAGCCTTGGAATTTCATAAGCCTCTTCTCCCTCCTAGTGTTTACAATATTCAGATATAAAAATTGATAACATAATTATAATAACGCCCCTATATTCAATCTACATCAACTTACCAGGTGCAAATGTTACACTGACATTGACAAGAACACCAGTGGGAATGAAAGTCCAATGAGAAACTTTAAACGTCGGAGTCTTCTCATACTTTACTAAAAAGAATGCAACAATGAAGGTTGAGTTTCAATGCTATTTTGACGCGTCGAGAAATTCTGCACATAAAAATATAATAGCTAAAAGTTTCTAAAACCTTGGACCACAGAGAAACAAAAACAGTTTACAGTTCAGTCACCAGTTAGTCAACGGTTGATATGATTCTTATTTCTTCATACTTTTGGGCTTAGAGTGGAAGGTTTTTCACGATGGCCAAGTTCTTTACATTTTGTCCTAGAAAAGTGTCGACTTTTCAAAATATGACTGTTCTCATCCGCAGCTGGTTTTACTAAATTAGGACAATGGAAACGGAAGCGAATATTATTTTGGATCGAGGATAAACGATCGAGAATGGAGAACGAATTTATAAAACCCCTGAATTAGAAATTGGGAATTAAAAATACAATCAGAAAATTTTGAAATCGGAAAGATCGTTCAAGACCTTTAAATTAGTCGATTAAACAAGAGAGAAGAAATTTCATTTTTTATTTTCCATTCGATTTCTAGTAACATTCTGAAATTATTCCTGAACAGCCTTTGCAGGCGGAATATCTTTGAAAGAGGATTGAAAATAAATCAAAAGAGAGACAC